AATAAATTTTTTTTTTATTAAGGGGAGGGGGGGGGTTTGGTATTTAACCCAAATTTAATTAATCAATATATATTTTCTTTGTGTGTGTGTGCCACATACTAATAAGTCATTAAAGTAAAAAAAAAATAAAATAAGAAAGAAAAAAAAATTACTCACAGCAGGACAAACATAAATGAAAAACACAAATGGATTTTCATACACGTAAACGTCATAAAGTCGGCTCCAATGAATTTTTTTCTTTTCATTTAAACACTAAAATATATTTTAATGTGTTAATATATATCAACCGGATGGTATTTTTACCCCCCCCCCCAAAATTAGTGAGAATTCAATCAAATAACTGGTCATTATTAATAAATACATGGATGAGCGTGGTAATGTCAATAACAATCATTATCTTTTATAAAAAATTAACCTTTTCTGACCTTTTTAACTAACAAAATATAATGATTTAATTTTAACTTCACTTGACAATTTATTTATTTTTTGATAAATTTAAAATTTTATTCAATAATTATAGACACACACACATTTAAACATGTGAGTCAATTTCATTTTTTTTTTCCACATGAAAAATACTTTCAAGTTAGCCACTAATAATTATTTTTACACGACTGAAACACTTTTTATATAAAATTTTAAATAAATCGCAATAATAATTAATAAATTAATTGATTTACATTCAAAATTATTTTTTCCCTCTTATAAATTATATTTAAAAAAAAAAATTAAATTCGTGATCAAAGTCGTTCAAGTCACGCCATTACTTATACATAAATTTTTAAATTGTTTTTTTTTTTTTTTTTTTTTTAATTAAAAAAAATTTTTATAATGAACTTTTTTCTTTAAATGTAAAATTTTTTAATTATTTTCTCACCGTTTAAATGATAATATCTGAGAAAAAAAAATAATAATAATAATAAAATATATTTAGAAGGTTATTAAAACGCAAGGACGCATAATATTATTATTATTATTGATGACTTTGATTCAACCTTTATTTCACGTTTGTATGTAATCAATCATTAATTTATTATTATTATTAATAAAAATAATAAGGCGCAATTAAATAATAATTAATAATAAATAATAATTATTTAATTAAACTAATAATACCGACGGGCGAGGGAGAAAACAAAAGAAAAAAACGATTCCCGAAAAAAAATTAATTTCACCTTGACATTTTAAACAATAAACTACCACCGAGCGACAAAAAAATTTTTTAATTTGGCGACAAATTTACATGATCGTAACTCGAATGAAAGCTTTCGGGACAACGGCCATTTTGGATAAAGAAATCAACTATAATGTAAAACAATTTTACATTTGTATTAATTTTAATTATTAAATCCCGACTAATTTTAAAACATTTTTCTTTTTTTAAAATCATTTCCCTACAGCCCCATTGGAATTTATCCAAATGATGAAATAGATTAACACATTTTTTAAAAATCGAAAAAGAAATTTGTTTTAAGAAAAAAATTTTTTGATTATTACATCACGAATTTAAAAAAAAAAAATTTGTAATAAACTTTACCTTGAACTTATTACTTTTAATTGAATAGTAAAAAAAAAAACACAACACAATATAAATCTAAAAAAAATAAAACACGGAATGTATGAAGAAAATAAACTGAATAAAAAGTTAACAAAGTACTATTAATAATAATGATAACTTGCTTTAACGGCAGTTTTGTCGCGAATGATGAAATTGTCGAATGTTCACAGAGTAAAAAACTTTTCATCCGCAACAATGTTGTGATCGTTAACCGAATGTGTTCGCGCGGATGAATACATATTAAGTTATTGCGCATTTATTTTAACGGTTTTTTTTTCGTTTTCCTCATCATTTAAACGACATTTATTAAACTAACAAAAAATTTATTTTTAATTATGTATTATTGTAATTATTAAAATAATTTCTTTTACTATTTACAATAAATAATTTACCGACAGTTTTTATTTTTTTCTACTTTTTATATTTAAAAAAAAATATCAATACTTACCTTACCCATATACTTAAAAACAAAACAAATAAATTGTTTTCAAATTTGTTTTTAATAAATAATAAATAAAAACTGTTTTATTTTGTTAATAATATAATAATTAGTATACTTGTAAAAGTATTTCCTCTTTCCACGTTAAAATTATAATAAAACAAAACCAAAAAAACTGAAAAGGAAAAGATTAATAAAAACAAGATGGCGGCTATTACATTTTGATTCACCCCAAGTATTGAATTTAAATGTCAATGTTTTTATACATCACGATATCATTAATTATTTATAAATGTCAAAATATTTTTTATAAAACTTTCCCTAATTTAAATTAGGGAAAGTAAACCCTAATTGATTTTAACGTTATAAAAATAAAAACAAAAAAATTAATATGGAGTAGTTTTACTGCTTTCATTAATTGATTGTATGGAAAAAATTATTAATTTGGAAAAATAACTGGAACGATTGCTAGATTTTCTTTAATTAAATTTTTTTTTTGATAATAAATTTCCACGGGTGTTATTTAATAAAAATAAAATTTTTTTTTTTAATTTGGAAATTACCCAAAAAAAAAAAAAAATTTTTTTTGTCTTCTTTCTTTCATTCTTTAACGACATTTCCCCCCTCCCCCCGAGAATATTATCATCATTATGCTTTTGATTAAACGTGAAAATACAAACTTGATATAAATAAAATAAAAATCAATTTTGAATCCATGAAAATTTCATTTTTTTCTTTTGTTGTTGAGTTATCGATAAAAAAAAAACAAAAAAAAAAAAAAAGTTATCCATCCATCCATCCATCTAGCAGAAGACGAAAAAAAACCTTAGAATCGAACCTTTTTTATCCCGTTTCAAATAAACCTTTTTTTTTTTTTTTTAAATAAATAAATAATTAAATACATTTCCCCCCCCCCCCAAATTGTAAAAAAAAAGAAACTTTCTTAATCAAATATATCACGAATTCATTTTTAAAAAAAAAATATTTTAAATTTTTTATTATTATTTAAACAAAAATCAATTAATAATAATAATAATAATAATAATAAACAAATAAATACAATCGAATAATAATAATAATAATTTCAAACATTTTTTTTTGTGTTTTTTTTTTTTTATTAAATATTTACCTAAAAAAATGAAACGAAATGATAATAATAATAATAATAATAATAATAATTTTTAATCTTTCATCACAAAATTTAATTAATTATTAATAAAACAATTGTTTAAATGTATAAATTTCACAGGATAACAACAACAACAACAACAACAAATAAAATATTTAATTAAATAATATTGCATATCGCACAGAGATTTCTTCTTCTTTATTATTATTATTATTATTATTATTATTTGTAGTTTCTTATGTGATAAAAATATCAATTAATAAATAATAATAATAATAATAAAAAAAGGAAAAAATATATATATAAAACTGACTAATCACTAATTGTGCACACCTGGTTCTTTCATTAATACCCTTTTTTTTATATATATAAAAAATTAATATTTAACCTTTTTTTTTTTATATTATATATTATAGTATTTATTTATTTATTTATTTTTATTTTATTTTTAATCTCTTCATTAATTAATTAATATTAATACAATCATCACTATCGATTGATCGTGTAGTTTAATAACCACACAAAAAATGTCATTATCAAGGTTTGAATTTTAGGTATGATTAAATATCCACGGTTGCATAATTCACTGTCGCATTCGCATATTTCTTGTGTGGCTAATTCTATATATTTAAAATGGTAGCATGGGCGGGAACTTTTTTCGTAAGCGCATTCTCTTATATATGTGTAATCACCTTCCTCTTTGAATCTTACTGAGATGATAAAAATAAATAAGTCACGTGATATATTAATAATCGTTAATTACTTTTTCAATCGAAATAATAATAATAATAACTTACGTTTTTGTTTAATTTTTCTGCAATATGCTTGAGAAGAGCTATTGGATTTGCCAGGACATTGTACTGAAAACTTTGAATCTAAATTAGAATCTTCTCCTATACAAGCTTTATCCTTATCGGATCTGCATACAAAACACTTCAGGCTTTGACCTAAACCAAACAAACAAAAACAAAATAACAATAATACATTTTTTTTTTAAATTTATATTAAAATAAAAATTTCAAAAAAAAATTCACGACATTGAATAACGACAATTTAAAGTCACGTGAACGTTACGTTAGACAAAAACGACAAAACGACATCTATCGTTTAAAAAAAAAAAAAAAAAATTTTTTTTAAATTTTTTTAGTTACGATAAATCCCGAAAGATGGATCTTTCAACGGAATAAGAAAAAAAAATTTTTTTTTTTTGCATAAACTCGACTCACCGCTATTAATTAAGATTAATATTATTATTATAAAAATTAATTCCACCGTTAAAAGCCTCTGCATTCTTCATTAGGCCGTTATTAGTTATTTGAATCTGAAAGAAATTTTTTTAATGTTTTTATCATTTTTTTTTTCATATTTTTTTCAATATGTACAATAACAAATCGATCATTAATTATTATTATTATTATTATTATTATTATTTCGTTTGCAAAATGTTTATCGAAATCCTCGCATGAAAACAAATAAAAAAACTTTTATGTATATTTTAAATAATACGATAATCGTTTCCATATTAATATTATTATTATTATTATCATTATCCCATTCCGATATTAAAATATTTATTTCATTATTATTATTATTATTATTATTATTATTTTCTTTAATATTTATTATAGTTATTATATTGATATTCAAATGTTTACCGACGCAACTGAAAATTTTCCTTTTTTTTTGTTGGTGAATGTTTACGTCTATGGTCGATTAAATTTTTTTAATTACAAACAATAAGAAAAAAACAAAACAAAAAAAAAGGTACAAATTATCAACAGGCTCAAGTGGTATGACGTACCAAAAAGCATTTAATAATATTATTAAAAAAAAAATAATTATTTCTAATTAATATTATTATTAATATACTTTGTTTACCTTTTTAAGGTAAACCTTTTACCAAACACAAATAATTATAAACCGATAACATATTTACCTTTTTACCAATTACTATAGTAATCGTTTACAAAAAATAATAATAATAAAATTTAAATATTAATAATAATAATAATATTAATTACATTTCATAGTATAAAAATGATAACTTACAATCGGAAAATTAATTTAATGATATGTATATGTATATAATTTATAAAAGCAGAAGATACTGTGTATTAATACAATCATGGTGATATTATAATAACCCTTAATTAAATATGGTTGAATTGTTGCATTCTATGATTATCAAATCATTTTATTATTATATTTATTATTATTATTATTATTTTTTTTTTTTTTTTTGGAAACGATTTTAAATTTTTGAAATTTATTTTTCCGGAACGCCGAAATCGTTACATTGTCGTTTTATTTTCTTTTTCCTTTTATATAAAATTACATTTTATATTTATATAAATATGGCGAACGATTTATATATTATATATATATATATATATATATATATATATATTATATATATGGCGACATTTTAATATATTGTTTAAATATATTTTTGTAAAAACGTTTGCCGAAATGTAAAAAAAGAAAATTCCCTCGTTTAAACACGTTCGATTAATAATACCGAATAAAAATGTGAAGACATTTTTTTTTTGTGACGTCATACATTTATGACGTATGCACAATTCAGATAATTGTTTATAATTTACAATTAATAATTCAATTATATATATATATACATACTCAATAAGTTAGTTAGTTTAGTAAATTTGTTTTAAATCATTTCCTACATATCATTTTAATATTTTTCATTACAAAAACCGTTGGACAATTCAAAATATTATTATTATCATCTTCATTTATTAAACAAGGAGATAATAATAATATGTAAAAATTGTTTAACTACAACAATAAGAAGAAAAAAAAAATTTTTTGTTTGTTTTTTTGTTTACTTTAATTTGAAGTAGTAATATGTTTTTCCCATAATAAATTCATTTTACTTTTACATAAATTAAATTTATACAGATGATAATAATAATAATAATAATAATAATAATAATAATAATAATAATAATAATAATAATAATAATAATAATAATAATAATAATAACTGACTACGTTGCAAATTTTTGTAAAAAAGTTAAGATAAAGACTTGAGCTTAAACAAAAAAAAAAAAAAAAAAAAAGTAGATAAGACTTCATATTAAAATTTTGCTTTAACAGCTTTTCTTACTTATTATTATTATTATTATTATCGTTTTTTTTTCATTTGTTGTAATTAATAAATTTAAAATTCAAGATGAGTTTTATATTACGACATCATTTATAACGTTAACTATGTAATTTGTTACTTAATATGACCACAACAACAACAACAACAACTTTCCAACATCAGTTTCAATGCTATATAATTTGCATATATAAAAAATTGAAATTTTTTTTTTTTTTTTTGACTATTAAATAAATAATAATAAAACAACGTGTAGACATTTGTTTTTGTTAATCGTTTTCAATTTTAAATTCGATACAAAATAAAATTTATAATTAAAAATTTTCCAAAAACGTTTTGATTAAAAAAAGAAAATTAATAAATATCATTTTAAAAAACAAACGCACGTCTGCAAAAATAAATTATTATTTAATTAAACTATCATATTTTAATATCAGATGTTTTATTTTATATTTATTTATATGTATTAAAAGATTAATTTATGTATTAAACAAAAAAACTAATTATTAAATAAGTATCCTAACAATGTGTATGAAATTTATGCAACTCACCATAATGAAGCCAACGACGGAAAACGTTTTGTTTAAATCCATTTTTGATCGAAATAAGGTAGATTTATGTTTTATTCTTTCTCCGAAACAAAAACGAAAACATAAATTTTTGTTTTTTTCGTCACAATTGTCACGATTTTTTAAATAAACTTGAAAATTTCAACAATGATTTCAACAATCAATTTGAAAACGTTCTATTCTCTAGTTTTGTCGTAACGGTAGTCGTGGTAAAAGTCATGTTTTCTGACGCCACGTAATTTTGACGTAACTCACTCACTCAATCATACGTTAAAAATATATAAATAAATAAAATAATTAAAATTTATTTACTCTATGGAATAATTATACACGGGATTACTTTTGCCGTAGGCTAAGTAAAATCAAGTATTCCTTCGAATAATAATCCATCAAATTTATTTCATGGTCATTTATTAATTCACGAATTTGGCAGCCATTTTAAATTGTTTTTTTTTAAAATATTATTTATTACTATTTGATTTTATTTAAAATTTCGTCAAAAAAAAAAAAAATATGTGTATGTGATCAATATTGATTTTATTCTCATATTTATTATTTTTAATATAACGATTACAAATTTTTAATTAAATTATATATAATATTAATATTCGTAAAAATAATTTAATGCGTATTTATAACGAATCAAAGTCCTTTTATCTTATTTAAAAAACAAAATTTTACATCATCAGGGCTGAGACAAGCCGAAATTTTTTTTTTATGAAACGTTCGTTGTGACGTCACGACACCACGTGACCTCAAAATAACGCTCTTCGGAGTCGAAGCTCTCCCCACCATTCGACATTTCGCGGACATCGTTTGCTAGCCGTTCGCTCATTATATTCGTGTAAAGGAATCAGTTCCCGGCTGCGCCATTTTTCGTTTTTTTTTTTTTTTCGTTTTTATTTATTTGTTAAATAAATATATATATATAAAATCGTTCGTTTCTTCCATGATTATTTAGTTTTTGTCTAAAATTTCGACAATTTATTATTATTAATTAATTAAAAATGAATTTATTCGAATCGACCAGTTTTATCTTTTTCACACTCGGATTTCTCATATTATTTTGCACGGATTCAGGTAAATTAAAATTTTTTTTTTTTTAGCTAATTAATAAAAAAAAAAAAAAATTCAAATTTATTTATTTATTTTAACCGTTTGCACATTATTATTACACTTTGTAATTATTTTTCAATTCGTTGAATTTTAAAAAAAGAATAATTTAAAATAAATTTGAATTTTTTTTTTTTTTTTTTTGACGGTTAGAAAATCTAACCTTATTATTACATTGAAATGGTGGAAAATTTTTGAAAAAAAAAAAATTAAAATTAAATTAAATATGGTCCATTTGTATAAGTTAAAAACTGGAAGAAAATGTGAGATCAATACTCGAACAAAAGAGTGAAACAGACATATATGGAGAAAAAAAAAAAAAAAAAAGAAATGGAAGAATATATTTTCGCGATGGCGCGTTTTCACGAGCCAATGCCAATTTTCTAGAAAAAAAAAAAAAAAAAAATTTTTTAACGTTTAAAATAAGGTCAAGGACGAAAAGATTTTTTTTTTTTTAAAATATTCTCCAGCCTTTAAATATTTTCATTTTTAACTTTAAAACGTGTTTTTACTACTCAATGTATTAGAAATTTAACCCTCAATTAAATTCGTTAGAAAGTGAAGTCGTTTGAAGAAAAAAACAAATTTCGAACCGCCATATTTGATTTTGAAATGAAATGAAAAGAAAAAAAAAAAAATTCGTTTTGATGAACGATTTTTTATCGGGAAAAAATCAGTTTGTGTGTCTTAAAATAAAACGTTTCGAACGTTATAAACCTAAATACTATTATTATTATTATTATTATTATTATTATTATTATTATTATGAAACGTTAAGGCGTTCCGACGTATAATTTTTTAATAGTATAATCGGTGGTGTCAATGTTGGAGATTTCAATTGCACAATTATTATTATTATATTCGTCCTTAAAAATTCTGTTTGTCCGTTTGTTTGTTTGTTTGTTTGTTTGTTTAGAGTAATCTAAAGTTAACTGGATAACAACTTGGCTTTTAAATAAATGATTTAATTTTCTAAGTCGTTTCCTTTCCCCTCTCCCCTACCCCCTCCCTCTTCCCCCCCTGAAAAAAAAAAAAACAAGAATTTCATGCTCAACGTTAAACCATACAGCAACCAACAGTAAATCCAAAATGGATTCCTGTTTACAATAAATCTGAAATATAAAAATAAAATTTGTTATGAAACTGTGCAAATAAAAAAAAAAAAGAAATGAAAAGTAAAACTTAAGCTTAATCTTGCTGCTGCTGTTGCAAAAAAAAAAAAAAAAGAAAAATTTATAAATAAATCTTGGACTTGGCTGTTGATCTCATTTTTTTTCTTTCATCTTTTGATTGGAACTCAACTGAAAAAATATTGTAATAAATTTACTAATAATTTTTTATTTTGAAAGGGAAAACGAACCAACACGCACACACACACACACACAGCAACACACCAACACACACACACACACAAAGACACACATACAAGCATACAAACACACACACGGACACACCAACACCAACACACACAAACACACACACACACACACCAACACACATCCACACACACACATACACAAACAAAAACAATTATGTATCCATTATTACAATGTTAATAATAATAATAATAATTTGAATGTCAAATCAAATTTGTCATGTAAATATTGTTTGTTCTTGCTCAATTTAACAAACAAACACTAATTAATTGCAAAATCTATTTAAAAAAAAAAAAAAAAAAAAACGTTGCCATTTTTTATTAACAATATTAATATAAATAATAATTTTTTTGTCACATGAAATGTGCTAAGAGGATGACAAGAATGAATTGGTAAAAATTACACACACACACACAAATAGTATTATTATTATTATTATTATTAGCAAGTCATTTCAACTAAGGTGTTATGATTTGAAAAATTTTTTTTTTTTTTTTCAGGTACGGCAATCAGGTGTTACGAATGTAACAGTCACAACGATTCGAGATGTGCTATGGACATTCCACCTGAATCCCTTCAAAAGGATTGTCAGGAACACACGGAAGGAGCTAAATATACAATGTGTAGAAAAATAACACAAAGCATCGATTTCGAAGTTAACGGACGTGAGTTTTTCAATTTGTTTGTTTGTCGAATAACCGGAAGTAACTAAATAAAAGGATTGATTGGTTGTTGTTGTTGTTGTTGTTGTTACAGTTCAACCCGATTCAAGGATAATAAGATCGTGCGGTTGGGATGAATCGAGTTATAAAGGACGTTGTTATCAAAGATCAGGATTTGGCGGTCGTCAAGAAGTTTGTTCATGTCTTACAGATTTATGTAACGATGCTCCCATGACCAGACGGGGATTTTCAATAATTACAACCGTAGCCATCGTAACATTTCTTCCATTTTCTATTACAAAATTAATCATCTGATTTTATTAATTATTATTATTATTATTATTATTATTATTATTATTATTATTCGATACGTGTCATTAACCAATTTTTTTTTGTTTTTAATCGGACCACTCACTTATTTGTTAGAAAATTTTAAATTTTAAATTTTATTTATTAAAATGATACATAAATAGAAATTTGTAGTTATTGCGACACGCAAATAATTATCATTATTATTATTATTATTATTATTATTATTCCTGCTATTATTTTTAATTGATTTGACATTTTATTAAAAATTAGAAGGTACATACTTATATATTATTATTAGAAAAATTATTAGATTTATTAATAATGATAGTAGATAAAAAAAAAAAATTATGTTTATTTAATTTTGTTATGAAAACTATTTTTTCCCTTTTATCATAAAAAATTAATTATGATTGTTATATTCGTTAATAATAATAATAATAATGTTAATGAGATTTTAGTAATGCTATTATTATTAATAAAAAAATAAATAAATAAATAATTTAGCTTTTAATTTTAATGGGTTATTTATATATTAATTAATAATAATAATAATAATACTTATTATGCCATAGTTGTGTTTTATTATTATTATTATTATTATTATTATTAGCTCAGGTGTAAACGATTTCGTTTTATTAAACGTTACCCCGATAATGATAATATTATTATTATTATTTATAAATAAACTTAATAAAATTTATTTTAAAACTATTGGATGATTGAATTAAATTTTAAAATCAATAATAAATCGATAAATAGTACAATAATTGATCCCTGTACGCTTTTAAACAAACAAACAAACAAACAAGATTTTATTGTTATGTAATTATTATTATTATTATTATTATTATTATTATTATTCGAATAAACAAACAAGATTATGTTTTTGTTATTGTGTGTGGTCGATATTTAATTGGCCTCTAACACTTTGATTATTATTATTATTATTATTATTAAACATTGCACAGCTTATGATTAAAAATAATAATGATAATTATTTTTTTTTTTTGTTATGTACATACGGTGTTAATAATAATAATAATAATAAAAACATGATCTCTTGTTTTTTTGTGCAAAAACCTTTAACCCCTTCTAGAAAATTCATTAAATGAATGAATGAATTAAATAACACATTCCTCTTATTTCAATGTTTATAATAATAATAATAATAATATCGATTAAGTTTTAATAATAATAATAATAATAATAATAATATTTAGGATAATGTTACAACAGCAACAAAATTAATTAATTAATTAAACATTTTCGGTTGGTTTTAAAATAGAATTAGTTTAGCTTTTTAAATAAAATGGCCGTTTAATAAATAAATAAAAAAAGGTTGTGTAAAAAAAAAAATTAATTAATTAATTAAAAAAAAAAAAAAAAAAAGCTCATTCATTATTATTATTATTATTAATTTTAACTGCCATATTTTAAGATTTATATAAATAAAAAAACGAACACGAAAAAAAATTTAATTAACCACGTGATCTTAAATATATATTAATAATATTAATAATGTATTGAAACATATTTAAGATTCATATATTGTGTTAAATTTTATTATTATTATTATTATAAAATTATTATGATAAAATCATCCACACACGAATATTATTATTATTATTATAATTATTATTATTATTTTGTTGTTAAAATTTAAATTAAAATAATTAAATTTAATTAATTAAATTGTTTAGATTTAATAATAATAATAATCATTATTTCAAATTAACATTGGAATTGTTGAGAAGATTGCGATGGAAATGTCCGAGAGGGGAGGAGAGGGAGGGGGAGGCGGGTATGGGTAGGGGAGAGGGAAGGGGGAAACCATCCTTAACATTATTTTCATTACTTGTTCCTAAAAGTCAAAATAAAAAAAGGGTTTTTTTTTTTTTTTCGCGTTCCAAATTAAAATAAACAAAATGTTTCGAAATAATAATAATAATAATAATAATAACAACAACAAAATTGTTGTTATTATTTCTTCATCTGTCTCAAGTGTTGTAATATTTATATATATCGTCGTCTGATTTTATATTTTTTTTCAGCTGAAAATAGTGTCTTCTGGTAAACATGTCACCGAATAATAACTCTTAAATAATAATAATTGTTTTCAATTTTTTTTCTGTCTCACACTTATATCAATTTACATTTATATATATATATATGTATATATAATCCGGTGTTTAAAAAAAAAAAACAAGTAATCAAATAATAATAATAATAATAATAATAATAAAATTAATAATAATAATTTAAGTTTTTATCTGTTAATATGCAAAATCAATAATTAATTATTATTATTATCATATATATATAAAACAAAAACAAAAAACAGATATATATATATATATACAGTTTTATTTATCAACAACGAATAAAGCCTCACTATTATTATTATCATCACATAGTCACCATAATTTTATTTTATTTTAAATAAAGAAAGTGAACCCGACGAAAATCTTGTCTTGTCTTGTCTCAAACTATATTTTGTGAATATAAATAATAATAATAATAATAATAATAAATTTTTTTTTTTTGTTTAATGAAAATTTTTATGACTGTAATATTCGAAGAAATAATACCTAGCGGAAGGTTTGTGAAAAAAATTTTTTTTTTTTTTTTAAATTACAAAACAAAAATTGGGTTTGTGGGACTTGAATATTTTTAAAATTATTTTTTTTTTTTTTTTTTTAAACAATGGACTTGCATCAAAAAAAAGGCGGTAGAATTGCTTTACCCAATACGGATCTCAATATCAGATCGTGCATCCCTGCATTTTGCCCCCCGGGAAAACAATCTTGTTCGATTCCGAATAAGGATGCCTTGATACCGATTCAACACACCCCGTGCGCGACTCAACCGTTTCCGTTCGATCAAGGACCCCCCGCACCGCCCATGATCACTCACGAATCCATCAATCAACATCAGGACATTGAATACATAACGCTTCCGGTTTTCAAAACGCGAAAAAACGAACCCCAGCAACATTTCAATCAAACGGATCTTTCCGTTTTGGACGGAAGATTTCATCAGGATAACAATACGACGTTCGATTTTAGAACTATACAAAACATTTCCTATCCCGCCATTCCCGACCCTCATCCATCCTATTTTTGTTTGGCACAGTCTGGAATACGTCCGAGAAATATCCTTCATCAGGAAGCGCAAAAATTTATGGCTTTTCAACCGCCGCCCAGGAGTCCGAGAAGGGAACCCGCCGGGAGAGCGTTGGTTTCTCAACACGCGAATCATTTCAATTATTTAGAAAAGGAATTCGATTCGAAAACCGATGACTCCATGTACTATCCGAAAAATTTTATGGTTAACATACCGGGGAGAAGGCCGTCGTCGGATGTTCAACTACCCATTCCCTTTCAATGGGTCGAAATAAATGCAAATAATCAAAATAAGCAAAAATTGAATCAGAATCCATTGATGAAACCCATACCGGAAAAAATAGAAACGAATTCGTCTCATTTGACATTTCGAAGGTGTCAAGACTATGAAATGTTTCCAGACAAACCGGGACAACAACCACCCGTCGAAAACGACGACAGGAATCCATTTAAAACGAGACAAGTCATTCAAGACAATTATTTGTACGCTGGAAACAAAAAATTTATCAGTGATCATCAGTCATTTAAACTTAGCAGTACTCCAATTAAATCCTCTTATAAAATATCTAAAAAAAAATGTTTTCACAAATATGATAATAATAAATTGGAAAATCCCCGTCCTCTATTTCCCAACGAGTATGGGAAAAAATTTTTACCCAACAGACCGGATAATATTCGAGAAGGTTTACAAACGGACAATTATTTGTCTCCTTTGAATTTTTCCACGACCAGTAACAGTTCCCTTGATTCTCTTTCTCATAGTAGCACTCACAGAAGCAGAAATATAAAAAATTTAAAATGTACCTGCAGCGAAGACAGTGATAGATTTTCTACTAAAAAATCAAGAGTTTCTAAATGTTCGCCGAAAAGTATGTACTCGGTCGGCAATCAAACGGATTTTTTAAAGTCACCCATCGAGGAAAAATTTCTATTTCGCGAAACCATACTCTTCGGTTGCGACGAAATTGGAAAATGGGCAAGAAAACTCCCAATGGTTTCCGAAATAGCCGGCATGGTCGATTACATAAGGGAAAAAACGACGCAATCGAGAGCTCAAAACATTTGCAGCGCTTTGGGTTTGGAAATAGAAGATCAAGTCATAGTGTCGGGATACTTGAAAGTATTTTTAAAAGTTGCCGATTCGTGGCTCGAAGCACGGAATTGTTTTGGCCTCACGGAAAATTGCATGAAAAAATCGTGTCAGTTGAACAGCCCCGAAATATCGCAAAATTATTTAGAATGGCAACACGCGTCGAGAAGACTTTTGGGTAATATAATCCACGGCGTGGGTAAAGTTCTTGCTCCGAAAGAACCCAACGTGTTAGCGAACGGTCCTGAAGTTTCCAACTTTCCAAATCAAAACGCACCGTTAAATTTTGGAGGAAATGAAAATCCGAATGGGAACAACAAAGTGGATTGTAGACTCACGAGAAGTGCTTCGAATCTTCAAAAATACTACAACGCTAAATTCCCTTCCACTCCCAATAAGAGACCATTTTTACAAAGGCAAAAATGGACGATATCCGACACGGCAAGCACGACATCTCAATGCTCAAGCGGAATGCGAGGACCCACGCAAATGAACGATTTGAACGTGGCAGGAAATCCACCGAGAAATTTTCAAACGAATCCACCACCGAATGCTGAACACGCAACATCATTTCCCCCTGAAACCCACCCCGTTCTTTTCTCCGAACTACCACAGCATAAAATCACACCCCTTAGTCAAATAGAACCTCCCTCGTTGAAAAAGCAAGAAAATTCATCTCTCACGATAGATATTTCCGCATGGTTTTCCGGGAAAACCGGAGACGGAGTGAATAGGTGTTTGTCATCTTTGACCAAAGAAGGAGCTCTTAACATGAGTAAATTTTCCATGCCTCCCTCACCGATAAAACCCATAGCCAAACCGGTGAACATGTATCAGAAACCGATGAACATACAAAAATCACAATCCGTAACGGTCGTTTATGCGGCCAACGAGGGTTCGCAAGATAGTTCAGACGACATACAGCAAAAGATATACATGAAACCGGGGAGTTATAACGTGCCGAAAAAAAAACTAACAAATGCGAAAAAAAGGAATAACGTTCAAAAAGCGAAAGAATCCTGTTGCGGAGACACGGAAATCCCATCGGGTTACATAATACCATTTGTCAATGCCGGACCATTTGTTCCTCCACCGAGTAGAAGCCTTCAAAATCCAAATATAAAAATAGTTAAAAACATAACGTCCCAATCTGATAATAATTTAATTAACATGGGATTTAAATCCGAAGAAAATTTTAAAATAATAAGTAAAAACGATAGCATCGACGATGAGAAAAAAAACGGAGATGGAGAAAATAGAAACGCGTCAAAAAAAGAATCCTTAAATCAAAACAAAAACCTAGAACCCAATAGTAATAATAATAATAATAACAATAATAATAACAATAACAACAACAAACAAAATAAAATACAAACGAAAGCAATGAAAACGGACGAATGGATATTATCGACTCTCATAAATTCGCAAATAATGAGACCGCAATTGAGTAAAAACGATGAGGAAAACAACGACAAAGAAGAATCCCTAAGGAATTCAAACAAATCCCTTCAGATGAGCGGTGGTAAATCACCCTACGATAAAATAACAACGTCGACAAATTGCCTTATGTCAAAACCCAGCCTCCATCATCTCGTCGACGGACAAGAAAAATGCGATGATAAAGGTCAAGAAACGAGGAGTCAAGGTTCGCAAGGTCCTGAAGCGAGTCAAAGTCAAGCATCGAGCGATAAAAGTTCACATGGGATTGATGAAAACATGACGAACAGATCCCAAAGTTCCATCGCATCGAGATCCCTTAGCAAAGCATCAAAAGCAAATAAAAACGTTTGGCACAATTCGAAAAGGCGGAGAATATTGAGTCAGAGAACGTTTTTAAGAATTCAAGACATTGTTAATACTCTATGGAATTACGACATGCCCGATTATTTGAAACAAGCCGTCAAATCACCCGTAACAACTTTTTTTTTTTTTTTTAAACGTTTTTCCCTTCCTTTGTTATCATTATTATTATCATTATTTTTGGTCAAAGGAACAACTTAATTAAAAACTTTTCTTTTTTCTTTACATTTCAGTTAACGAATTATTATAAAATAGTAAAATATCCGGTATTTTTAGAAACAATAACGAATAAAGTTAAACATGGGATTTACGAAACGGTTGAACAATTCGTACACGATTGTCGTCGTCTCATATTCAATTCTACATTATATTTTGAAGTAAGCACGATAATAATAATAATAATAATAATAACAATGGATTAAAATAATTAATTAAAATAATTAAATGTTTTGTTGTACTTACAGAAAGATAAAATAGAAACGGAAAAAATTAAAAAATTCAGTGAACATCTCGATAAACTAATGCAAGAAACATTTGAAAATTGGGAATGTTGGAATCACATAACGGGCGATCCGAGAGAAGTTAATTTTTTCCCCGAATTAAGATATTCAAACGGTTGCGGATTTGGGAAAAAACGTTCCAAAACTCCCAAAAACGGATCGAGAAAAGATGATAAATTATACGAGCCGTAAAACGTATCACTACCACTACTAATACTACCGCTAATACTACCACTGCTACCAATCTACCAATACTACCAATACTACAAATACTACTACCACTGCTACCACAATCACTACTACCACGACAAAAATATTCTACCCCGATCTAAATAATAATTATATAAACAATACGAATAAAGCAATACGGAAATACAATAATAATAATAATAATAATAATAATAATAATAATAATAATAAAGAATTAGAAACGAAAGAGAGAGAAAGAGAGTGAGAGAGAGAGAGAGAGAGAGAGTGAATGTGTTATTGATAAAATAGAAAAAGCTAAACCGTGACTACAAAAAAAAATCTACAGTAAATACAAACGAAAAAAAAAAAAAAAAAAAAATGTCGAGTCGATCGATCGACGACCAAACCTCAATACCTGAATTTTTTTTTAAATTTATTATTATTAAATAATAATTATTCAACGTTTTATCCATAAAAGTTATTTTTTTGTAAAAAAAAAAATTACGCCAAGTTAAGAATTTATAATAATAATAATAATAATAATAACCGCCGCCGCCGCCGCCAGAAGCACGAAAAATAAATAAATATATTAATTTTCTATTCATCACGGTAGAAATTAATTAATTATTATTATTATTATTAATATCGATTTAAAAAAAAAATCAAGTGACCAGTGTGTGAAATATTTACTACATGTTCAGTTTATTTATTTCATTTAACAATCCACGTAAATTATTTATTTATATATATATATATATTTTTTGTTTATTAGCATTCAATGAAATGAATTGCAAAATTTTTAAAGTAATAAAAAATTACAATAAAATTATTAAAATTATTTACTTTTATTATTATTATTATTATTACTATTACTATTATTTTTTTTTAAAATGAAAATAATATATATTTAAAACACATTTTAAATAAAATTTCGTATGTGAAATTAATTATGATGATCATCGAACGATTGCTTTATTTATTTAAAAAAAAAAAAAAAAAATGTCGTTAATGAGAGAGAGAGAGAGAGAGAGAGAGAGAAGAATTTCCGTTACAACAAAATCACAAAAAGAGTTTTTACATGTCTTTATACAATCTAACACGAGAATTCATATAAACCCCCCCCCCCACAAAATTCCAGTAAACTAACTAATTAAATAAAAGGAAACTGATTTTCCCCCTTCCCCTTCCCTCCCCCTACTCCCTACTCCCCTTCCTCATTTTACTACCCGAAACGAACAATTTTTTTTTTTTTTTTTATTATTATTTATTGCAAAACTAATTAATAATCACCGTATTGGAGCAAAAACGTCTACGTCATCATCATCACCAACATCATCATCATCATCATCATATCCTTTACCCGTTTACGCGGATTAAAAAAAAACCCCCGGTTTGATTTAATCTAAATTCACGTCTTTCAATTGAGCCAAATAATTTAACTTTGAATTATTTATACTTTCAATGGCATCTTCCAAATCTTTCATGTTCATCGGTCTCAATTCTTCCGTTTCGTTTTCCTCAGACCTAATCCAGACAGAGAGAGAGAGAAAAAAAAAAAAAAAAAAAATTTTACTTACAATGTGACGTAGTACTGACATAATGTGACACAATATCAATGACATTTACCCGGATGAATGAAATTTTTTAGCAAATTCCCTTATCCTGCAAAGTGAAGCCACTCTACACAATTCGTGTAAATCTGAACCGGAAAATCCATTTGTTTTGTTACCTAATTCATTGTATTCAATTTTTTCCGTATTTTCTTTTTCTAATATTAATTTTAATATCGCTGTTCTTTGTACTTTGTTCTGAAAGTTACACACATCAGAAATCGATAATTTTACATAAGTGCCCAATTAAATTACAATCGAAATTAACTTTCGAATAAAGATAAGATTTATTCTGTGATGTTAAATGTCGAGAGAAAAAAAAGAAAATTTACTTACTGGCATTGGTATCATAAATGTTGCAGGCATTCTTCTGAGTATAGCACTGTCTATATCTTGAGGTCTATTTGTGGCTCCCATAATAATAACAATTTTATCAGGATCTGTCATGAGACCATCCCATAAAAACATAAATTGAGCTTTCATCATGGCAGTCGCTTCGTGATCTCGTGAAGTTCTAGACCTCAACAGAGAATCTGTAATAAATATAAAATTCAAATTATTCAACTTCATTATTTTATTTTAAATGCTTTAACTGTTGATAAAAATTTTCCATACCGATTTCATCGATGAAAATAATACATGGTTGAAGTTTGGATGCTAAAGAAAACAAAGCTGAAACAAGTTTCTGAGATTCTCCATACCATTTATCTGTCAATATAGATATATCTAAATTTATAAATGAGGTTTTGGCTTCCTTTGCAGTGGCCTTGGCTATTAATGTTTTACCACATCCTGGGGGACCATGAAGTAAAACACCTGAAATGTTTACATTGTTAAATACATAAATGAAAAACTTACAAAATATGTCAAATAACTGACGAGGAATAATATTTGAAAGAAGTTTTTTCTTACCTTTAGGTGGCCTTGTAAGTTTTGAATTTCCTAATAATTTGCTTTTCGTGATAGGAAATATGACAGTTTCAACAATGTCATCTAAAACATTTTCTAAACCTCCAACATCTTTCCAACTTACATCGATTTCACTTGGTGCTATTAAATGACTGGCTATCATCAATTCATGTTCTGTTAGCTTTAACTGCAATTATATATTTAACATGAGGGATTTTCCTTTAATTTTTAATTAAAAAAAAAATCAACCAGTTTAAATTTTAATTATACCTCAGTTTTTCCAATTTTTTTCAACTGAAAAGCTGCCTGAAAATCAAATAAATTAAATTGCGGTTTATTATATGGGATAAAATACACAGGTGACTCGCACATTTTAATACGTACCTTTTTCTTTGCTGCCTCTCCTCTATTTCCATTTATGTCTAATTTTTTAAGAAACCAAGAAATGGTAAAATAAGAAACGCCAACCATGATACTCATTTTAACTACAGTAGCAAAAAGTTCTTTTTGCAAAATTTGATATGCTTGGTCCCCCATAATTTGTGAGTGTCGCTTTCTAAAAGTCACAAAATATTTTTAAAAATTAATTAATTTTTATAAATAACTATTTAAGTATGCATTTATGAAAAAAAAAAAACTAAAATTTTGAATAAACAGTTAGTATTTCAATAAATAAAAGGAAAAATTTTACAACTTTATTTTTTGTTCACAGAGCGTGGCACTAGAAACGACTTAACGCTAAAATTAACGAGTGACAATGTGGTTAATAATATTCCATCATGTTTTCGTATAAAAAAAAAAAAAAAAAAAAAAAAACAATGAATTGATTGAATAAATATTTCACTAATATTTTTCATTTACAGTGATTGCTCAATGACAAAAATAAAAAACTTGTCTTACATTCTTAACAGAAATACTTTTTAAAAATTTTTATATATAATTTTTTTAAAAAAATTAATATCAGTATTGCCAAAATAAATTGATAAATAACCGAAATTAAATTTAAATTTAGAATCAAACCATATTTTTCCTTGAAAGCTAAATCAAAAATTTCACGGTCGGTTGCATTTTGTAAAATGACAAAAAACATACAAAAGGCCTCCTTTAAAACTCAAAAATTTTCATATTAAAATAATTTAAATTCAAATTTAAAAAAAAAAAATTGTTTTTATTTATTAAATACTATTTAAATTACATATTTAGATCAAGACGTAAAAAAATAAAAAAACTAATTTAAAAAATAATAATAATAAATAATAAATAACAAAAAATTATGTAACTCATTTAAAAAAAAATTCACATAAATATTCATTTCCATTGAATTGATTAAATATTTGATTTAAATTGTTTTCATATATAAAAAATTATTTATTTTATTTTAATTTAACACTGTTAATTTATTTATTTATTTATATTTATATTTATTTAAATGAAATAAAAATCGAGCTAATTTTAATTAAATATTGTCAATATCATATCAAGTCATTCGTATAAATACTAAATACTGTATTTAATATATGTAGATTTAACTTTTTTTTGAATCTGATAAATAAATATTAAATAAGCAAATTATTAAAGATTCAATTGATAGAAATCAATTGTTTTATTGCCTATTTGCATGTTTCTAAAGGAGGAGGTTTCAATGGGATTTTGCCAAAAACAAAAGTAGCAGCTGAAAAAGCATCAATTTCTTCTCGAGTGAGATCTTCCATTTTAGAAAAAACACTATAATCAACATCGACAACAGGTTGGCTAAAGGTAAAATTATTAATTTGTGAATTCGATTGATTTTGCCCTGACACTGCATTCGTTTTAAAAAGTGTCGAGTTGTCACTGACGAAGGTGTTAGCTTGTTGTTGATTGCCCCCACCGAAAATGTTACTTTGATTATTGAAAGACACATTAGCATTTTTAAAAATTTCATTTTGTGAACCAAATAATGAATTACTAGAGGGAGTTGGACTAGAAAAACTAAATGTTGAAAATGCTGTCGAATTTGTAGCGGGAGGATTACTTGAAAATATATTTTGATTAGAAAAAGTTGGATTAGATGAAGCGGCAGCAGGAGTGGGAGTACTGTTAAACAAATTTGCAGTCGATGAAAAAATATTTTGGTTAAAGCTATTCGTAGATGCGCCAAAAACATTTTGATTTGTAGTATTTCCACCGAAAATATTGCCTTGTGTTGGTTGTGCAGGAGTTCCTCCGAAAATGTTTCCACAAGGTCCAGGTGTTACATTTCCAAATAAATTATTACAGTTTGCTGATGATCCACCAAATATTGATGGACCACTACTGACATTACTTGTCGATATGAAAGAATTAGCAACTTTTGATTGGTCTTTTTTATCTTTTAACATATTGACCTTATAAAAAATAACATAACTTACTTTTAAAAATTATTTTCAATTTTTTACGCCAGCGATTTATTTCGATTCGAATCCTATTATATACTTAATTACTTTGAATTATTAGGTACTGATGACACTCATATTATTACACATAACACTTAATTTAAAATAAGATAAACTATCTTTAAAATACAAATTATTAAAATATTACTTACAATGAAATTGATTTGTTCCATTGTTGGTTGTTTTAATGAATTTCTTCTTTTCTCTGCCTCTCTGTATAAATGATTAATTTCATTAATCTATAAAGAAAATTTAAGAAAATTGTAAAGCCCTAAATAAAAAAAAAAAGGACAATTACATTTTACAAAAAAAAATTCAACCAACACATTGATTTAGCGTTCCTTTATTTCTTGCATCATACATTTTCCATCGTAATTCTTCAGGTGATATGTCTTCCCATTCTGGTATATTTTGTCCTTCTTTTACTGGAGCAAAACATGACAAAGGCCATTGTCCACCTTTTTCAGCTGCTGTTACTTCACCAGCAATATGTCTAAAAAATTATAAAAAATTAACTTGTATTTAAAATACATAACATTCAAAATACAAAATTTAAATTAAATATTCGTACTTGATTATATTTTTCAGTTGTAAAGAATTTGCGGCATTTTTATTGTTTCTATCATCTGAAAAAAAAACCGTACTAATTAATATTAACAAAATCTAAAAAAAAAATAACGGAAAGATTTTTAAAAAATATTTTCTCACCTTGTGGAAAAGAATGTTCATTTCTACAATTTTGCCCAAATCGGCATCGTCCTTCTAAAAAATACTGACAAATACTCATCGTAACAAAAAAAACATAAAAAAAAATTTTTTTTTTACAAAAAAATTATCAACACTCAAAACCTTCCATTTTGTTTTAGTGTAAAAACGGTTTAGAATTCCATAGAGTAAATAACGTGTAATTTTTAAATGTATTATACGTTAAAAAAGGGAGAAATAGATACGATTTGAAATTTTCAAAAATAAAAATTTTTAAATCGAAATAATGTGTGAATTAAATGATGAAACTAAGTTCGAAGAATCTCAAACCGATCACTTTGATAATTTAAAAACGATAACGGAAAAATTTCACGCTTTTAAAAAAGTATTCACTGCTGAATAGTAATTAAGTCATGTAAATTTACTATAAACTTTTAAACAGAATTTTAATATATATTTTTAAGGCCGCTGAAAATAAGGAAAAAAAATTAAGAGAAGCTGAAAAAGATATATTTTCACTTCGAGAAAATATTACCACATTACAATCATTAGAAAAAAATTTAACGAATCAATTACATTCATCTCAAGAAAGATTGATTTTAATGCAGGGAAATTTAGGAAAAATGTTATCACTTTATGGTGCCCACTTTTTTTTTTACTTTAAATTTAACTTACCTCTAATTATAAAACCTCTGATTGATGTGTCTTTTTACTCTGATTACAGAAAAACAATCCGTAAATGAAAATATCATAGAAAAAATTGAAAAACAAATAACAGAAATAAAACATGTAAATTTGACACACACATAACATGTACATATAAGAACCATTATTTTAACTGAGTTTAATAAAAACCGTCGTTTACTTTATTCCCGCAGGAAATAGAAAAACTAAAAGGAAAAACCACACAAATATTTAGCACGACCACGAACGAATTGAATTTGTTAAATGAAAATTCAACGTTGAAAAAAAATATTGAAAAAATGAAAAATGATTTACTCGACATGAATAACATAAAAAATAAATTAGCCAATGAGAAAAATAATTTGTTTATCGAGGTAAAGAATATTCGTTTTCGAAAGTCACGTGATCACTATTACCATTATTTTTCGAATGTCACGTGATTATGATTACCATTATTTTTCGAAAGTCACGTGATTATGATCACCATTGTGTTTCGAAAGTCACGTGATTACTATTTTAAACGTACCGTTGAAATAATATTTAACGGTTTTTTACGTTCAAAAAACGATGATGGTGAACTTATTTAACAAAATTTTTTTTTTTTTTTTTCAATAATGTTATCGTTTACAAACATAAATAATTTTCAGTACGAAAATAAAATTAAAACGTTAAATGATGAACTGAATAAATCTAAAAAAAAATGTGATGAAATACAAAAGAAATGTAACGAAACAATTGAGAAATATAAAAAAGACGTTGAAGATAAAAAACAAATAATTAAACAATACGAAAAACAACGACAAAGTTTTTTAAGTATACAAATTTTTCTAAATAATAATTATTCATTTGATTCATTATTATTATTATTATTATTATCAAACGTAAATTCATAAAATAAAATTTCAGATGAATTTAAATTACCCGATATTGAAAAACATATAGAATGTAATAATACCGTTAGTTCAACGTGGACAACTGATAATTCTCACAACAATGGGTAACATTTACTCAAAAAATTAATTTATTAATTATTATTATTATTATTATTATCATTATCATTATCATTACATTAAAATCATCACATTTTATATTAATTAATTAATTTTATTTAACAGAATTCATTGTGATTTATCAGAAGAAGAAGAAACAATTATTAATGATGATGATGATGATGATATTTCAAGTGAGAAATTATTAAATTCCAACAATAATAATAATAATAATCAATTAGAATCCGACGGTGATATTTTGACGTCATCATTCGTTAATGATAAAAATTCAAATTTTATGATAACCGACAAAATAAAAATAAAAAGAAAAAGAGAACAAAATGAAAACAAAAACAAATCACAAAAAAATACACAAACGAAAAGAAGATTATTTTCAACAAATTGTAATCATTATTTAATTTAAATTCATTCGAAAACGATTGATAATAATAATAATAATAATAATGATGATGATAATAATAATAATTTATTCTCGTTTAAATTTATATATCACACATATGAAAAAAATTATATTTATAATACTGTAAAGTTAAAAATAAATTTTTCCTCTTAATTTCTTTAATATATATAAACATAAAAATGTCTTTCCGAGTGTTTTATGTAATAATAATAATAATAATAATAATTTATTTATTTTAATTATATTATTATTATTATATCTCTTTATGTATTTATACACATTTAATGGACGCACACGCACACACACACACCTATAATAATACACACATAATAAAATATATAATAACACATTCAAACGAATAAAAGCCAGTTTTGATATAATAATAATAATAATAATAATAATAATACATACATACATACATAATTCCTTCATTTATTATTATTATCATTATTTTCTCTTTTTATTTAATTAAACTAATTCGTTATTTTATAATTATTAAAATTTATTATTATAAATATTATTTAATAAAATTTTATTTATCGATTCGTTTAATTATTAATAATAATAATAATATATATTAATTAATTAATTTAATTAAAATTATAATTGACAGTGACGTCATCACGTTCATCTTCCATTACTATTTATCATTAATCAAATCATTTATGAAACAGTTTCTTCTTCTCTCTCTCTCTCTCTTTTATTTTACATATGATATATTAAACGAATATTGATATTATTATTATTATTATTAAGGCAACTCGTGTTAAAAAAAATTATCATTATTATTATTTTCATTTTCATTTGTTTGTTTCTCTATTGTTTAAAAAATTAATTAATAAAAATAATAATGAAAAATCCATGTATAAAATTTTTTTTTGTCAACAATTTAAAATAAATGATACATAATACATAATACATAATAAAATAAAATAATAATAATAAAAAAATGTTAATAATAATAATAGTTGCTGTTGCTGTTGTTGTTAAAATGCTTTTTTTTTTATTTACCCTGAAAATATTTTTTTATTAGCAGCCATCAATAGGTTCGTAACTTCCTCTCAATGAATAGTTGTCGGCTAAGTTTGTGTTCTCTCGTCTTGATTTAATAGGTCCTAAAAAATTTAAAAAATTATTTAAATAAATTCTTATTAAAAAAAAAAAAAATAATAATAATAATAATAATAAAGTTTGTTTTTGTTTCTCATAAACGTTTTTTTTTTTTTTTTAAATATACCCAAGAAATGTAAATAATTAATTAATTAATTAATTAATTAATTAAATATTAATTCGTGTAATAATAGATACAATAGATAAACAAGATGTAAACCTATTACTAATAATAATAATAATAATAATAATAATAAATAACTATAATAAATAAATAAAAAATATTTATGTGTGTAATACACAAAGCCTTTAAACATTTTACAAAAAATATATGTACAGATAAAAAATAAATAAATAATACATAAATAATTGTTTTGATAAATAAATAAATAAATAAGATTTGTGAATAATAATAATAATAATAATAATAATAATAATAATAATAATAATAATAATAATAATAATAATAATAATAATAATAAAATGTTTTAACCGATTTCACAGCATCTTTTTTTTTTTTTTTTACATTACCTTCATTTTTTTTTCATTTTTTTTTTCTATTAAATTATTGATTACGTAATCAATATAATAATAATAATGATAATACCGCAATCGGTATTAAAATTAATGTACATGCAATTAAAATTAGTAATTAATTAATTAATTAATTTTTTAAAATCATGCTTATTGTGACATAAACCAAATTTTTTCTTATTATTAAAATCAAAATGCAAAATATTGTGACCCTTATTTATATGTACAAACAACAACAACAACCACAACCACAACAACCAGTACAAAATTTCATGCAAACAAAATTCAATTAAATAAACATACCATTTATAGTAAGAGAAAAAAAAAAAAAAAAAATTGAAAAATTGAAAAATTGAATTCACGAAGTGATCATAGGAAGAACCCCATCAATGATTGATGATGATGATGATGATGACAACTAAGAATGTAAAATAAATAATATTAAATGAATATTATCATTTATTTACCTTCCCTCCACCCCACCCCTCCCCCTTAATTATTTTCTTAATTTTTTTTATTTTTATTAAACAAACAAAAATTTGTTTATATTAATTAATTATTTTCTCTTCATTTAAACATTTCATAATAAATAAATAAATAAATTGGGGGGTGTTTACACATAAAAATAAATAAATAAAATAATAATAATAATAATATCTTGATATCTTATTGTATAAAAAAAATATATATAATTTAAAAAAATAAAAAATATTAATAATAATAATAATAATTTTTAACACAATTAATCAATTCATTTATGTACGTGATGATGATAATCATTTATATATTAAATTTAATTAATTAAAATTAATAAAAAAATATTTTCATAAAAAAATAAATTATCCTTTTAAAAAAAATATTTAACAAATATTTATACTAAAATACTAAAAACTAATTTTATAACTAAAATACTAAATAATATCGCCAAATGCATACAAAAAAAAAAAAAAAACCAAATACCAATCGATAAATCAATCAATCAATCAATCAATCATCACTTTTATAAACAAAATCATAATAATATTAAAACGTCACACACACAAAATAGAAAAAAAATTCAAAAAATTTCACGTAATAATAATAATAATAATAACTTTATACCATTCTCACATACGCTCGTTACAACAACAACAGCAACAACAGCAAAAAAAATTAAAATGAAAAAAGCTACAATTTAGTATTGCTTACTCTTTCAAGGCTCGATTCCCTCAGGACATTGTCTCGACCTTCTAATTCATTCACGTTCCTCCTATGATTAACAACAACAAGATTTTCTCCATTCGCAACACCACGTGGACCTGTTCAAATCAAATTATTTTCCTTTTCTTAATACAAAAAAAAAAAAAAAAAAAAAAAAAAAATTCCCCCCCCCCTCATTAAATTCGGGAGCGTACCCGCCGAAAACCATTTAAAACGTGTTTTTCTTTTTCTTTTTAAGGTTTTGTTATTATTATTATTATTATTATTTTTAGTCCAAACAAATAAAAAACAAGGGGTTAATGAATGAACGTTGTTGCGTGTTATGTACAATGATTTTCCTTATTTTTTGTAAATACACAAAAGAGAGAGAGAGAGAGAGAGAGAGAGAGAAAATTATTATTTTAAACCGAAAAATTATTTGTTAATGGGAAAAATTCTACATATTCTACTCGTGGTTAGTAACAAATAAATAAATAAATTTTTTTTTGTTCTTTACCTATGTAACTTAAAAGGACGGGTAGGAAAATCAATCCGTGAGCCGCACCAAACAAAACAATTCCCAGGTACATTCGAAAGTAAAAAACTTGAAATATTTGCGATTTGGCAAATCCGAGTACTATGATCCCACCGAATTTCGTTAGAGTTATACCTGAAAACACCTGAAAAAACAATCGACGTGGTCAAAAAATTTTCTTTTTTTTTTAAATTCCAGGTTTTATTATTATTATCATCACTTACGGAACTTCCCATGTCCGTAAGAGCGTGAGATGCTCTCTGCAATTTATTCGACTCCGTTGAACTCGTGAAAGAATGAACTAAATGACTGCAAAATTCCACTGCTATACCCACAGCCTAAAATTTTTAACATTTTTTATTTGTTTGTTTGTTTTTAAATCAAGACCGTTTGTTCGTTTGTTTGTTTGTTTGTTCGTTCGATTCATTTCTATTTACCATGACTAGATTTACGAGTGAGACAGCGTTCAATCCAATGTCCCACCAGTACATGAGTCCTCCGAGATTGATTAAAATCATAGCGATCGTTATGACGATGACGAAAGCTCCGCACAAATCTAATCCTAGTAATACGAATGACGTCACAAATATGGCGAGAAAAGATATTAGCATGCTGTTGATACCGTCTTCCCACACGGTTAGATATTGTTCGTAGAATACATAAAATACGCTGCAAAAAAAAAAATGATAATTAATGGCGTCGTTTTTTCGTAAACCTTTTTTTTTTTAAAATAGGCAGACTTTCAACTTTCAAACAAAAACACTCGCGTACCTGTACGGAAACACTTCGACGCTTGCATTCCCTCCCATTTTCGTCAAACGATCGTTTATGGATGAAGTTATGTTGGCTGCAATGTCTCGAGCGCTTCGAAGAGCGCTGTAGTAATCCTCCGAAGTTTTTAATATCGTGTGATATGCCATGTAGTAATTAGACGACGCCATGCTTCTTTCGAATCCATTTTTATCCACTCCTAGATTTCTGTAGTTTACAGCCTGAATAAAACGCAAGTAAAAAAATGGAAAGCAGTTGTTAAAAGAAAGTAAAATGGCTGGCACTTTTTTAAACATGTTAACATGAATTTACCGGTCCGTAACTCGGATGACCGCCCTTGGCACAAGATGCATCCGGATCATCTTTGAGAAAGAAAGATAAATATCTTTCGAAATCTGTGCTGCTCGGTCTGATTCCCGTCGCGTTTTCCCGCGGGCAAGTTTCGCAATCGTAGGGTGAAATGTGCGGGCAAAAACTTTTATTGTTCGTCACGAAACAACACTTGTCGTAAGACAACCAGTCGAAATAGTCGTCGAGCCATGAAGACGCAGGAGTTGCTATGTACGAACTGAAAATTTCATTTGAAAGCGATTTAATTAAGGGCGGGAGGAAGAGCAAATCCCTTTCTTAGCGACCCTATAAATTTATACCTGTTCGCTTGTTTGGAAGCTAAATAAACCTGAGTCGTGAGAGAGTCGAGGTGACATTTTGGTCCCGTGCAAAACAAATTTTGAATTTCAGGTTTCGAATAATTTAAATTTGTGTCTTTGACAACGAAATACACGGGAGGTCCGATGGAAAGATAACTTTTTAAGCTCTAAAAATAAATTAATCAAATCAGTGAAGTGGTAAATCGACGGTAAAAAGCAGAGACGATAACAAATCAAATTACCTTGAAATACTTGAGTACGTAGGAATCTTGTGACATGGACAATTCTTGATCTAATCCCACTTGAATACGTGGCAACACCGCAATAGACAAACACAGCCAAGCGTAAAAAACTACAACCACGAGAGGTCTCACGATTTTATTCATCAACGCAGGCACGTAAATGTTTTTGAAAAATTTATATAGTAAACCATTGGGCAGCGCGGAACCGCTATCCTTTTTCGAACTTTTTATAAAACAACAAACGTCGTATCTGCCAGCCTGAAAATAAAATTCATCGCGTAAGTTTAAGACGAACCTTAATTCCTAATTATTAGCCTTAAAATGAACGTTTTACCGTTTGCCGACGAGAATCCAGTGCTAAAAGGCTTACGAAACAAGTCACTTGAAATATAAAATCTATTAGTAATGCCATACCGGCATAGAGAGCAAAAGCTCGAACGGCGGGCATGTTGGATAATCCCCCTGAAATGAATTATATAATCAAATATTTAACCTAAAAACCTACTTAAAAACCTACGTGAAAACCTACCTAAAAAGAAGCAAAAGGATTCGGATAAACTCGTCAGTGTCATCGAAGGACCAACAACTCCCAAAGTCCTTCCAATGTGTTCCTCTAAACTTTCGTTGGGTTCTCTGGGCAATCTGTTATGAGTCTGAACCAGTATAAATATGTTATCCACGCCGACGGCAAGGACCAAAAATGGAATGACTTCGATTATGATAAGCGTCGCGGGAACGCCGATGTACCCGAAAATTCCCACAGAACAAGCGACGGATATTAAAACGACAAGAACGCCTCCCAATCCCAACGTCATCTTACTGTCGGTCTACAAAAAAAAAAAAAAAAAAAAAAAAAATTATTTTTTTTTTTTACTGCGTGGAATTGCACGTGCAAAAATTTAATCGTTACAATCGCGCTTTATAAATACCAGCAATCTGGAAAAAGATCGAATTTGTCCAAGGGATATGGCGATGTAAGCAAACATAATCAAATAACTGATGAGAATGGTTCCGACATCCGAATGAGACGTTCTTTCCAATTCATCTTCGATGGAACGTTCCGAAGAGTAAGCAACGTCCATGTAATCAGGTTTTTCCGTTTCGGTCCAATTTTTAAGCAGCTCGATAAACCTGAAAAAAAAAAAAAAAAACAAAAAAACAAAAAAATACTTAAAAATAAACTTTTTACAAAAAAAAAAAAAAAAAAATTATGATAATAATAATAAATAAAGTCAAATAAAAAATATTTTCATTTTGTGAACCGTGACAGAATTTTGAACGTACCTGGCCTCCCATTTCAAGGCAGGTTCCCTCAACGTTTTGTTATGATGATTATCTACTAGATAAGTTAAAATTAATGTAGTTGATAATTCATATTTTGGTTTACCCTTTTCGTTAAGGCCGGCTTCTAGAAATCCTCCGAGTGCCAAATCAGGTAAAATGGGACCTCCCCAAGGTGCCAAACATTCATCTGGTAAATACGGATTGCTGACAACGAGAAAAAAATCGTTCGTAAATTAAATTCAACCAAAATCATAGAGAGTACAAAACTCATAGATGAATAAAATTTATTAAATTAAAAAAAAAAAAACTTACTTTACGCAAGACATAAATCTATTGAGATATTCATCATCCTCCGTATCTAAATTACTCAAGTCATCCTGATAGTATCCCCAAATGCTCATGATGGAACATTGTGAAACATCTTCGGGTCCCGAATCGGACGACAACGGGGAGAAACAAATATCTTTTAACGTCACTCCATCGGCATTTAACTAATTTTTGATATAAAAAAAAAAAAAAAAAAAAAATTACGCGTTACGCAATCCTGCTGCGCACTCCATAATCCCGATATTTTGTACATTTTTGTAATCTTACGTTTCTTATGGATTGTTCCAAATCGTAGATTTTCTTTAGAAACGACACGTTAAAAACGGGGCCGAAGGTCACGGGTCCCAACGACGTGTTGTGCGTGATGTTGGGTAATCCGACGGCATGAATTATTATTTGCTCGGTTCTATAAAATGGCCTGAAATTACTGTCGTAGTACTCTTTCTCAACGCGGGATCTACTCAGGGGATTAGCCCACAGTTCTATGGGATCGGTCGTGACTTTGACGAACAAAATGCCGCAGGCGAGACATATGAATACAAGAAGACCGGTGAGCAAAACGAGCCAGGGTCTCGACACGCATACTGGAACGCAAAAAATTGCCCGTTAATTATCATTATTATTATTATTATTATTATTTTAATCTCGATTCGCATCAACTTACGCATTCCAAGTTTATAAAAAAAACGTTCCAAAAATTTTTCAATCGCGGCTCCCGCCTTTTCAATTTTACTCAAACTTGATTTCGTCCCAACAAATTCAGTCTTTTCGTTTGGATTTCCTTCGCTGGCACCTAAAAACATTTTTTTTTTTTTTTTTTGAAAATTCAACGATTCGTAATTACAATACATAATAATAATAATAATAATAATACAAAACGTATGAAATTTTTATGTGTGAAAATGAAGTAAAATTTAAAATTTCTTAAATGTAAGCGCAAAAAACTTGGTTTGTATTCACAGCCTGGAGCAAAAAAAAAACATGCAAAATTCTATTCATCAATGATTGATTGATTGATTGTGTTTGTGTTGAAAATTTTGCCCTTTTTTTCAACTAAATAAGCTCGATGAAATTTTTTTTTTACATTGCGTACAAAATAAAACACATTTCAATTTTATTAATCCCACTAATTAACCTTTACAAGCAACCTTTTCGTACCTTAATTATAAAAAACAAAAAAAAACGTGAATGAAATATTAAATCTAGTAAACGCAAAACATAAAAGACATCCAGCGGCGGACTTTATTTTGTCATGCTTATTTACACAATGAGTAGTAAGAGAGAGAGAGAGAGAGAGAGAGAGTGACTTTTAAGGTTTTGTCAAAGGTCAATGTCGGTTAAGCTATTAAGCAAAAAAAATAAATAAAAAAAAAAAATAGGTATAAAGTTTAAAACCTAATAAACTAAACTAGTAGCGCGAGAATCAACTTGAAACCGTAAAAAACGTTATGTGTAATGAATAATGCAAATAAGCACGCCAAAAAATAAAAAAAAAACAATTTTGCCAAAACGACAGCAACAGCAACAGCAACAACAACAACAACAACAACAGTTCAAACCTACTGGAACGTTTCGATTGCAAGGGACTCGATTCATCATCATTTCGGGAACTGTCCATCCCTGCCAGTCGTCTCCCCACTTCTTCCCTAACCTCAACAGCACGTTTTGACGCTACAATTAACATAGTGTATAAGTTAACTCATTGTTTTAAAAGAACCGTGAATCAAGATGAAACGGAATTTTTTCGAGAGGGGGAGGGGGGAGGGGGTAACTACGGCCGGTAAAATTTTAACGATTCCTTACCTTGTTGCCTGTTTCTTTTATTGCAAAATAAAACAATCGAAAGAAATATTAGAGAACCTGCGATAAATACTAATAACATGACGAAATCTCTTCCGGGTAAAGCTCCCACGAAAAATGGAGCAACGGGTGATGGGACCGGAGGTGGTATCGGACAACTTTCCACGCAGTCAACGCAACTGCAAGCCGACTCGTTTTCCTAAAAAAGAAAATAATCACATTATAGTAAATAAAAAAAAGGCAACATTGTACAAATCGAACAAATGTTACGTACCAACGGAGCCTCATTACAGGAATAAGTTTTAATATTGAGGGGTGTGAAATTTTTTTCCTTTGCTTTGCTAGACATGATGTAATTGATTTGATATGGGGAAAAAGCACTTGCGTCCCCCAAAAATTCAAACCATAATTCGGGAGAACAAGAGACGACGGGACGGTTGCATAGCAAATCCATTGCGTATTGATTGGCCAAAGGTAAGTAAACGTTTTTGCAAGAGTCGTAAGTACCGTAAGTGTAACTTTTATTAATGTACAAATTGATTTCCGACACGGCTGGACGGTCTGCAAATAAAAAAAAAAATGGCAGTCGTTAATTTCAATTAAATACCGTTTTTATCTAAAATTTTTTTTTTTGGGTAAAAATCCAACAACTCACATCCTGCACTCTTATTCAAGGTCGCATTGACTATACGTAGCGGTTCTATAAAATTACTTTGATCTGGTCTACATGTAAAATCGCAATAGTGTCTCACGAAATTGTATTTACAAGAAGGACACCTCGATATCAACATCATGGCTTGCTGTATGTTTTTATCCAGAGTTTCCAATTGAGCTTCGTCGCAACACGTGTAAATAAGTTGGGAATCCGATGTGGAGTCGAAATAATGCGGACACCATTTTTTCAATACTTTTATTCCTTTGTCGCTTAATACCTTTGCCGTACCGTTGTACGAACATGGTAAAAGCTGCGCAGCGGGAGCGTTCTGTGCTTTCCCGCACTCCCCGTACATGACGCAATGAGGTCCCTCATCATTTTTTTGACCTCGAACCTGAAAATAATAAATAATAATAATAATAAATTCATCAGTGAAAAGATAAATACAATGTCTCGTATGAAAGACAAATTAATAACAATGTGAATTCATCAATAGGAATTTAAAAGTTTAATTGATCAACCTTTGTAAAAGGTTATAAAAGGAGAAGGAATTTAAGTGGACACACAACGTACGTGACAAATTATATACCTCCCTCCCCCCTCCCCCCATTAATATATGTATAAAGAGTTTTCTAAAGATCAATTATATTAAAATAGTTTGTTCACCTCTCACAAAAAAAAAGAAACGTTAACATCGAGTTTCTCAAGTAATAAATTTAAAAATAAATTTCATTTAATTTTACATTTTGAAAAATTTTGTCAAAATTGTCACCAAAAATTAATTTGTACCTACTCCCGACGGTAGGTAATTTATCTTTGAACCTTGTTTTTATTTTTCCTTAAACTTTTAACCGTAAATTAAAAGATATGGTCTTAAAAAAAAAAAATATTTATGTACCTGTAATAATAAAAAAAGGTAAAAAAAAATAAAATTACATGTTAATTAATAATGAGAGTCTCCCCACCATACGTAAAACTTTTATAATAATAATAATAATAATAATAATAATAATTATCTGTTTAAAGTTCAAAAATGATTTCCAGGTTTTTTTTTTTTTTTATTACCTTGGACGCGGATTCAAAGCTACCGTGAAAAGCAGAAGACGTGAGGGAAATCATACTAATACTTAAAAAATATAAACTATATGTAAAGTTTATTGTTGGTGACAGTTGACAAATTTCAAAATAAATTATTTCTCTATCTCTCTCTCTCTCTTTCTTTCTCTCTCTCTCTCTTTCTCTCTCTCTCTCTTTCTTTCTCTCTCTCTTTCTCTTTCTCTCTCTCTCTCTTTCTCTTTCTCTCTCTCTCTCTAAAAAATTTACTTATTAAATATAACTTTACGTTTAACTGAAAAATTTCAAAAGAGAGAACCTGAACAACCTTTTTTTTTTTTAATGTCACGCGCATTGCCATACAACCTTTCGGGGTAAAAATACAACAACCCCATGTTAAAATTAACTTGATTGATTCCTAATTGACGTTTCCCTCATATAGTCTATTTCGTGCGTAAAAAATTATCATTGTTATTAAATTTTAATCCCGAGGAAAAAAAAATTACTATGTGCGAGTGACGTAATAAAAAAAAAAAAAAAAAAAGCATGGTTCTGCTCAGATGAATAATAATAATTAAATTCGATAAGAACAAATTTATTTGACGACGACAAAAAAAAAAAAAATGTTTCGAATTGCGTCAGATGAGAATTTAAATTTTTAATTTTTTTTTTTTTTTTTAATATTATAAAATCTGCAAATTTTTAAAAACGCGACATTTTCGATTATATTACAATTATTATATTATTTTAATTATTAAAAAAATAGAAACAAAAGAAAGAAATGTAAAACCCGTTACGGTTGTCATATATTGAATTAAAATTCAGGTTATTATGAACAATTTTCTTTTTTCCATTTTTTTACACACTCATGGTCTAATAATAATAATAATAATAATAATCTAAAAATAGTAAATATTTTCTTTAAAAATAAAAAGGGGAAAATATTAAAAATGTAGAACAAAATAAAATATATTATTTTAAAATCATCATCATCATCATCATCATCGTTACGAAACTAAAATGACCTAGACCTAAACAAGAAGTGGATGTTGTGTGTTTGTTTTTTTTTTTTTTTTTTTTAAATAAATTGTTTATTTTTTTGCACATTCAATTAATTACATCATTATTATTATTATTAATAATAACCGTAGAATTAAATCTTTTTTTTTTTTTTTGTTTTAATGATCTTATAATGAATTATATATATATTGTTATATTCGGTTCGTTCTTTATTTTTGTAAGTAATGAACAAGCACTTAAAACTATCACAAAACTAATATTAATAAACAAGAACTTATTACAGCAGACTAACAATCAAAATGAACCAACGCCAAGCTGTGTAGCTTGCCTATATTACTTTGGTCTTTCGTCAGTCAACTGTTTCGAATGTTCGAGCAAACACTTGCAAATAAAATAAAAGAAGGAGTCTTTAGAAGCTTCGCTTCTAAAGAAGAACAATTTGAGTTCGTCGCCAGTCTTTTGTTTATAAAAAGTTGAAAATGTGAATATTGAGTACGGGATCATAACACCTCCCCCCTTAAGACGGAAAACAATTATTTGAAAAAGAATTTGTTTTCTCCTCTTGTTCGGATTTGACAGTTTCCTATGTCGGGTTCTGAATGGTTCCGTCCAGGTTGAGACTCCTTGAGTAGTAGTAGGTGCTATGTCTTCTGTATGGTAGACTGTTGTATCTCTTCACATTGGCTTCTTATCAGGAACATCATTTTAAGCTTTATAGCTGCAAGTAGTAGAACCTTTCCTAGGCAATACTCGTTAGTGAACAATGTTTCATAAAGAGTAAAGATAAAAGAATAAAATTATGAGACATAAAATTCGAAACAAAATTGACATAAGTTCTGAAAAATACAAGAATTTTATATAGGAAACATAGAATAATGATTAGAAATAGAATAAATGGATTAATAATAAAATAAATGATGATTAGCTGTATGAGGAAAAATTAAAGGATTAAATTATTATTATTTTGGATTTCTCTCTCTTTAGATCAACTACTCAGAACACGGTTTTGTGATAAGTAACTTCCTTGTTACGGATTTTTAATAAAACGTTTTTGCCAGATTTTTTCTTGACCTCGTATGGATCTTTAAATTCAGGACTAAGTTTTTTATTTAGATTTCCTCTTGCTAATTTTTGACTGGTTTGAATCTTCTCTTTTTCATTAGACGATAGGTGAACTTTACTTAGTAAAAATAGCTTTACCTCAGGAATACTCTCTTCGTGAAAATCGGTTGACATAAGAATGGATGCTTTCTTCCTAGATTTCTTGGTACTGGAATTCCATTTCCGCTTTTTAGTATGCTTCCCAAAATTATGCTTGTGAATTTTTTTAGTAGCTCCTATATTTTTATTTGAAATTTTTGTTTCCTTTTGAATTTCAGCTTTAGGATGATTTTTAGGTTTTGAATTCTGTATGGATGATCTTTCTTCTTTTACTTTTAGACCTTTTTTCTTATTTTTATTTTTAGGAAGTAATGGTGCTTCTTTAGCCTTTTTCTTAGATAAATTTGTAGAGGGTGCTTCTTTAGCCTTTCTCTTAGATAAATTTGTAGAGGGTGCTTCTTTAGCCTTTCTCTTAGATAAATTTGTAGAGGGTGCTTCTTTAGCCTTTTTCTTAGATAAATTTGTAGAGGGTGCTTTTTCCTCTTGAGCAGGAATTGATCCTGGTAAAGAATCTGTTTTCTCTTCAACTTCAAGTTTGGATTCTGGTAAAGGATCTGTTTTCTCTTCAACTTCAAGTTTGGATTCTGGTAAAGGATCTGTTTTCTCTTCAACTTCAAGTTTGGATTCTGGTAAAGGATCTGTTTTCTCTTTAACTTCAAGTTTGGATTCTGGTAAAGGATCTGTTTTCTCTTCAACTTCAAGTTTGGATTCTGGTAAAGGATCTGTTTTCTCTTTAACTTCAAGTTTGGATTCTGGTAAAGGATCTGTTTTCTCTTCAACTTCAAGTTTGGATTCTGTAACTTCTAAAATTTTAAGTTTTTCCCACAATTTTATTGTGTTATCTTCATAGTGGATACATGTTGATTTTTGTCTGCGATTAATCAATTCTTTTATCAGTTGACTATGGGGTTTCTTGTCTTGGTATAATTCAATTAGTTTCGTTTTTACGTCATCCCAATTATCAAAATCGTACAAAGAAATTCGAATCTTGGCATTACCAGTGATTCTGGAGTAGATGATCTGAGAGTGGATACTTATTCTCTTCAGAGGACAATTCGATAGCATTATCACAATCCTCAATAAATGCGTTAAGTTGGT